TGCACAAGTTCAAGCCCCAGTATCCCCCCCAATATATATGGAAACAACAATTTGATATCTAGTGAAAATATCCTTCATCATTGAATACAAAATGAAGACATTCTCAAACAAAGGGAAACTGGAAAAAGCCTTACTAGCAGATGTGCTTCCTTTGGAAATTCACTGGACAGAGGCAAATGATTTCAGAGAGAAACATGGGACTTCCAAGATGAAGGAAAACCAACAAGCAGCGAGTGGGTAGATTGAATATTCTTCACCACTTGGGTTCTTTAAAATATGTTTGAGGTCTGGAAATAAAAATCATAACATTATATGATAGGATTTGCAACATCTATAAATGTAATATATATGACAACTATGGTACAAGGAGGGTGGGTAAAAAAATCAATGACACAAAACATGAATTAGGTAGTACAGAAAAGAATTAGAGTCCATGAAAAGCTCCCAAACAGACATCTCAGAGGTTAAAAATTTTATTGCAAATATGGGCAGCAGAAATGACCAATGTGAGGACAGAGCGTCAGAATTAGAAGACAAGGATTCTTTCAAAGACCAATTGCTCAAAGATTCCTTAAAAATAACAAGAGAACATGAAAAATGGATCCAACCACTGCTAGATAATGCAAAGACTAATTTAAGATTAATTGAAATAGTCAGGCATAGTGGCGCACTCCTGTAATCCCAGCACTCAGAAGGCTGAGGCAGGAGGATCACTGTGAGTTCGAGACCAGCCTGGGCTACACAGTGAGATCCAGGTCAGTCTCACTACATAAGTGAGACCCTATCTCAAACCCTCCCCGCCCCAAAAAAAGATTAATTGAAATAAGTGAAAAATTAGTAGATAGCACAAGTGGCATAACAAAATTGTTTACAGAAATAATAAGAGAAAATTTCCAAATATAAGGAAAGAACTGCACATACAGATAAGTGATGCATATAGAATCCCAAATAGCCACAATCAAAACTTCTAGTCACACTAGTCAAAATACCAGAAGTCTAGCACAAGAGCAGAAACTTTTTTTTTTCTATTTCTAAGACAGAGTCTCACTATATAATTCAGACTGACCTTGAACTCACTATGTAGTTTAAGGCGATCTTCCTGCCTCAGCCTCCAACGCCTGGCACAAGAACAACATCTTAAAAGCTGTTAGAGAAAGACAATGAATTACTTATAAAGATAAACCCATCAGAATTACAGCAGACTTCACAACACAAACCTTAAAAGCCAGGAGAGCTTGGACTGAAGTGTTTCAAGTTCTAAAAGAAAGCAACTTCCAAATGAGACTTACATATCTGTATGGTGAAAATACAAAGTAAAACGACAAATAAAAAAAAAAAAACAGGAAAAGGTGTTTCTTATTTGCTTTCTCAAAAAAGAATCAATTTTCTGAACATATGCAATCTTTTTTACCATTTTTTTTTCCCTGCAGAACTGAAGCTTGAACACAGGGCCTTGTACATGCTAGGCAAGTGCTCACCACTGAGCTCCACCCCTAGTCCTTTTTATTTTATGTTGAGATAGGGTCTTGCTGAGTTCCCCAGTCTGCTCTGAAATTTGAAATGCTCCTGCCTCAGCCTCCTAAATAGCTGGGATTACAGTTAAGCAGCACAATACCCAGCTTCTCATGCATAAATTTTTAAAGACCAACAAAACAACAAAAAATATGCAAAGAACATGAATAGTCCGTTCTCAGAAAAGGAAATAAAAATGACCCTTACACACGTGACAAAAACGGATCTACTCACGTCTAGAGGAATGCAAATCCTCAAATGTAAAATGCCAGGGGAGACCTTGGTTTCCGAATATATTTTCCAATAAAAAGAACAAGAGGGCGGGGAGGAGGGGGTGAAGGGAGGGCAGGGACAAGGGGCAAAAATGAGAACCAAGACCCGTCACGGAGAGGTACAAGATCCCAGTAATGAATATTCATACTGCATACCCAAAATGTATCAATAAACTCAACAAAAGAACAACAACAACAAAAAGAACAAGAACTTCACGGGGAACCGGCTGATCCTAGGGCTAGTATTGGAAGAGTACAATAAGGAAATAAAGAGATGGAAAAAAATGTAATGGGGAAATCAGGCCCACAGGCACCAACTCAGGGAGGTAGGAAAGCCCTGAGTGAAGGGGCTTCTAATGGCCAAAGTGGAAAACTTCACCAGCAAAATAGTGGGATAGTATTTAACTATACTCCAAAGAATAAAATACGTAAATGGAAAAGAAGGGGAAATCTTCCTTACAGGAGCATGTTTCAAAAAATAATAGAGCCAACCAGGTAGGTTGCACAGAACTATTATCCAGGACTCTGGGAGGCTGAGGCTGGAGAGTCGCAAGTTTGAGCCCAACCTGGGCAACTAAGAGATTTATCAAGATTCTGTCTCAAAAAAAAAAAAAAAAAAAAAAAAAAAAAAAAAAGAGCAACAGTGCTTCATTCCATAGCAGGTATTTCCAGAGTCCAGCCTGGCTGACAAGCTCTGAGCTCGGCCTGGCCATGGTGAGCTGCTGGAGAATTCATATCCTGCTGTGGGCACAAGAACACCACGGGGATCCAAGCCCCTTGAGTGAGTACTTCCCGCTTCTCTCCCAGCCCCTCTAGACCTGACTTACTATTTTGCTTTATTTTGTTACCTTTTTTTGCAAACTGAGATGTAATTTACATGAAACAAAAGGACTCATTTTAAATGCACAGTTTGATGTGTGTTGACCTATTCACGACCCTGTGTAACACCGATCAAAGCAGAGAACACTGCCAGCACCCAGGATGCTGTCTCTTACCCCCACCCTAGGCAGTTACCAATCTGACTTCTGTCATTGTTGTTTACTTCTGCCTACTCTGGTGTCTCAGAAAAGTGGACAAAGGGGTATGTACCCTTTTGAATCTGGCTTCTTCTTTCCCTTCCCCCACTGAGTAGTATTCCACTGTGTGGATCTCCCACAGTTTATTCATTCACCTGTTGATGGGTGTGTAGGGGTTTCCCGTCTGGGTTATTAAAAGCAGAGCTTCTATGAAACAGGTATTTGTACAGACAGGTGTTTTCATTTCTACCTGATAAATGACCCGTGGCTGGGCTATACAATAAACCTAGGAAACTTCTGAAGAAACTGCCAAACTGCTCTCCAAACAGCCCATTTGCTCATCAGTTGGAGACTGGATAAAGAAGATGTGGTTTTTCTATAAAATGGAATACTACTCAGCCATAAAGAATGAGAAATTAGATACATTCATAGGAAAATGGATACATATTGAGGATATAATCCTAAGTGAAATAAATAAGTCACACACGTGTAAATACCAAATTGTTTCTCTGGTGTGAATAAACTGTAATAGTGCATAAGATCCTAATGAGATAATTGACAATGTGAAATAGGAAGAAAAGGGCTAAAAGTGTAGGGAAAGTGGGAAGGGTAGGGGAAAGGCAATAAGGGAAAAGAAAAAAATCTGACAAAATGAAAAAATGGAAATGAAGTGTTTGTAAATGGGGAGGGAAGGAGAGGTTGAAGGGAGGGCAGGGACAAGGGGAAAAAAATGAGAACTAAGACCTGTCATGTAAAGGTACAAGATCCCAATGATGAATGTAACTGCACTGTATCCCTAAAATGGACCAATAGACTTGATGAGAGAAAAACAACAACAACAAAGTCTGGAATCCTGGATACCCTAAGTGTAGAAATGTACCTATACTCTACGGCCTCACCTGCACTTGTAGCTCTTTGTCCTTTCAAGACACTTTAATGGGTGTGAATTATCTTGCTGGAGTCCTATGCTGGCCTAGGAACCTAACAGTGAGGAACCTCTTTTTATAGTTTTTACCAGGCATTCATATATCAATTTTGTGAGCTGTCTGTTCAAAACTTTAGCTCATTTAAAAAATTCAATTGTTTCCTTGTTACTGAATTGCAGTTTAGGACCATATTTTTAATAAATTGGAACCTGGCCTTCCTCACTTAAAACATCACCCAGACTCCTCTGGAGGACCTGGGAGGAAAATCCAAATGCCAGGGGTCTGGCCCTCCCTGCTGGCTAACCCCTTCTCTGATCAGTGCACTGAACCCCTCTCCCCAGTAGTCCTTTTTTGATAATGTTGGTCTGGCTGTCCTAGAAACCAGTCAGACATCTGTTACCAGGAATCACCCAATTTAGGATTCCTTGGACTCTTAGTGCTTGCTCTTTTACCCACCTCCTTCCAGAACAGCTGGGTCTTCCACGCATCCCAGATTTCTAGCTCTGCTGGCCATAGAACAATGAACGTTGGGAAAGCCTTCTCTGCGAAAATGGCCCTGCATCATATTCACTGAGGAATCAGGAGGACTTCATCAAACAAGAAAGTAGACAAAGCAGGCAGAGTCCGTACAAAGGCCCTGGGGCAGAAAACAGCATGGTTTATTAAAAAAAAAAAATGTAAGAACCTGGTGGATGAGTGGGAGGAACAAAGGAGAAAAGGGCCCCAGAGGTTGTTTTGTCTATAGCAGACCCAGAGCAGAAGGGACTGCCCATGGTGCTTTGTTTGGTTGTTTGTTTTGTTTGGGGGAGGGTGGAAATGACCAGGACTGATGACTTCTGCATCCTCCTGGCTGCCAAGGGAAGAAACCAAGAGGGCTCTTAAAGAGCCCTTACCCAGTTCAGGGAGGCAAGGGGAGTTGGGAATCCACTGTTGGTAAGAAGTGAGCAGAGACCAGAGAAAGCTTTAGGAAGGAAAGATGGCAGGCCCCGGCCTTGGCGATGGAGTGATGGTGGAGGGTGAGGAAGGACGATTCCTAACTCTCTGGCTCTTGGGGGGGTGGGAGTTCCGTTCACAGAGGCCGGGCTCTCCCTGTAGATAAGCACGGGACTGGGTCTTGGTCCTGGTGCACACGCCCGGTGTCTGTGCCTGGGGAGCGTGGGGGGACAGAGACAGAGACACTGAGATGGCCAATGGTGTCCGTCTGGGAATCCCCAGGATGGGCTGCGCTAGGGATGGGATACGCTGGGGATGGGGCTGTGGAACCCAGGCCTGGGGTAGCCAGCGAAGGGCCAGGAAGGAAAAGGGTTGAGCATGAGCGGAGAGAAGAGTGGGAGAATGGCCGGGGAAGAGGTAG